GACCTTGATGCTATCAAGTCATGCCTCAGCGACAACGGTCGTCTCTCCATCGAAGCGCCAAAAATCCCGAAGCCCGAAGCCGAGACCGGCAGAAGTATTCCGATCGAACGTGTCAGCAACGCAAAACCCGTTACTGAGAAGAAGTAAAGGACTTCGAATTAGAGAATGATCGATTGTTAAACCTGGGATTTGGAAATTGTTGGTTGCCATTGTTTTAGTTGTTTTAGAACAACAAACTGATTTTTACGCCGCATAGATCTCCGTGATCCTGATAGTTTTGTACAGATACTTGTAAATTTGTGATTATTTGAGTAGTAATAAATATGTGTAGATAGAAGTGAAAATGTTACAAGACACATCACAAAATAACCAAGTAGAAGACACATCACAAACCAAGTAGAACCACATAACTTTGATTCATAGCAGCACTTTTCACCCATCATTCCCCTTGGGTGAGAAAGGTAGATGTACACGGTTATTTGCGATTATGTACCCCACCGTAAATTCCGCAAAGTTTCCTCAAAATTTAAAAGGCGCTGAAAAGTTAAATAATAATGACAAGTCAAGAATTTGATCAAATAAATGTAGTTGGAATGTTGCACATCAGATTCTCTGCAGACCAATTCAAAACTCTAAACGAGAACTAGTCTCCTATGACTATTTCACATGAGACCACATGAACAGGTGGTGTGTTTGTAGTGCAAAATGTAAGGTATTCTTTGATGTATGATTGCCAATCAGCTAAGCCAAATGCATTGAAACAAAAAAACAAGGACTAGTTCTTGCTCAACAGAATTATGAAATTCGTCAATTTCATCGCCAGATAAACGTCAACGAATTCTGACATAATTGTTATATGTCAAAGACACATATCTTTTGATCTCCTATAAATCCTCTTTTATTGCATTAAAAATCAGTTTTCTAGGAAAAATGCTTGAAGTCCTTTATAGATGAATGAACAGTGTCGATCTACTACTAAGATTGTGTAGTCTCGTCAGTCTTTTTATAATGAAGATTAATGAGCAATAAGTAATAGG